TGGGAAAGTTGCCGTCGTCGTCGTCGTCGTCGTCGTCGTCGTCGTCGTCGTCGTCGTCGTCGTCGTCGTCGGGGGGGATTCCAGTGGTCCCGCGTATCGTCGGGGACCCCAGTGGTCCCGCATATCGTCGCCCCCCTCGTCGCCGTCGTCGTCGTCATCGTCGTCGTCATCGTCGCCGTCGTCGACGTCATCGTCGGGGGGGGGGGTCCAGTGGCCCCGCCTATCGTCGGGGATTCCAGTGGTCACGCATATCGTCGCCCCCCTCGTCGTCGTTGTTGTCGTCGTCATCCTCGTCGTCGTCGTCGGGGGGGTCCCAGTGGCCCCGCATATCGTCGCCCTCCTCGTTGTCGTAGTCGTCGTCGCCGTCGTCGCCGTCGCCGCCGTCGCGAACGGCATTGGCGAAACCTTTATGCAGCATTCGATATTGCAAGTACGTCGTGCAAGGCCCGCGGGGGCCCGAATCGCGCAGGGCATCTCGGGCCTCTCTGGAACCTCTTGGGGGCTTGGCAAAACCCTACATGCTGAGCCTCTCTAGACGGCTTGCCTGGGGCCCCCTCGGGGCCCCCTGCCGTCCTCGCCAGGCTGTTCTTCGGGGCTCTCTGGTGGCATCGTTGGTGGCCATTGCAGGGTCCAGGTGCAGAAGGGGGTGGCGGGAGCAACAGCACATCTATTTTTTCGGCTCCACCTGGGTCAGGGACATGGACCACGCGGCGCGCCACGCCTGTGTGCCCCTGCTGTCCCAAAGCATCGGTGAGGCAGAGAATTGGTATTGCATTGTGCCCAAGATTAAGCGACGGCTTGGCCAAAGTGGGGGACGACAAATTTACTTGCCCGTCGTGCGTGGGCGGCATTGAGCTCCATACGAACACTGAGCTCCTCAAGGTAGGAGTCACGTGTAGATTCGACAAGAGGCGAGAATCGCATGGGCCCGAAATATTAAAAACTTGCATCTCAGCTGGGCAGGCGCCTTCAACGATATCACCACCATCCAAAATTTCATATTCAAGTAACGTCCAGTCTCGCTGCTTGATTGGCTTACTTAGAGCAGTCTTGATGAGAATATCTGCGTTCCCCTTGGAAATAACTTGAAAGACGCGAAGCGGCACAGCAGCGCCTGGCGCCGATGGGAACGATACGAACGAATATAGCGGCAGCGATTCCAAGAAGTATTGATCGAGCAACTTGTGATCATCTGAGATCTCGCCCTCGCCCTCATCCTCGTCGACGGCGTGGGCCATGAGTGCATCACCCCCCGCGTCTGCTACAGCTGGACCTCCTCCGTCAACGTCGACATCATCTGCATGCGCCTCTAGTGGTGGCAGTGGCGCTGGACGATGGGCTGGCCAGTCGATTGGGTCAAAGGCCCGATCTAGCTGGTATACCCTCTGGAGGAACGCTCTTCTCTGGCAACGGCGGCCGCGCCCTGTGCAATCTGCCAAGGCACTCTTGTATGAATTCCACAGTTTTTGTCTATCAACCTCCGCTGCCTCGCACAGGTCATCAAAGTCACGCAAATTCTGGTTGAGTCTGGCACTTCCTGCGATCCAACCCCACTTCGCTGCTCTGGTTTTGCCGCAAATCCTTGAGACTTGAGCATGCGGACCTTCTCCTGGCTTGTCGTCCAACGGGATATCTCGGAGGTCCCGCATGTGGGCAGCAAGCCGAGGCGACATCCCAGAGCCGTCGGCGCCCATGGCCAGCAACGCTGGGCCCTCCATCCCGATGATGTCCCTGGTGAGCTGGTGATGCATCGACGGGTCGATGCGTCGCCATTGTTCCATTATCTGATCACGGACGCCTGCATTGTCCATCTTGCTGAAAACATACGGAACGTGTTCCAAAAATTCAAGCTTCCTCTTGGCAGTGGCGAGGGCTCTCACATATATGCCCCCACACTGTTGAAGGAACTGCATGTTGTTTGAACGAAAATGGCCTGGTCGCCAACCCCTGCTCTCCACAACTGCGTCGCTCAGAGTCCTCACGGCGTGATCGTATGCTAAGTGGATGAGCCTTGACTTCTTGTCGCAGTCGACGCGCTCCCCAGCCATGAGCTGCTCCATGTGACATTCACAACCCGACCCCCAGTTCTGCAACCCCTTCATCATGGACGCAAACGCTGTGACGAATTGCAGCTGTGATGTCCACTCAGCGCTCCCAAGCGCCGCGCGAACCTTCCCCACCCCCGATCTGTCCTTCAGCTTGGCTATGAACTTGAAGTTCGGGAAATGCAGCTGCACCGTTTCAAGCACCTTCGCGATTGACTTGCATACCTTCGCCAGCGTCGTCCAACGCCAGCTCGCAAAATATGAAAAGGAAGCTGCCTCGAGAAACTCAGAAGCGGGCACCATGTTCTGTTCTTTGAGCTCCTGCGTGATATCATCCATGTGGTCACGAAGCAAACGGTTGAGTGCCTTCAGCTTGTCCACAAAAGATGGGAACCACCTGGCGGTGTTCAGGCACGTCTGCAGAACGCCATCAATGATGTGGTTCCACCCTGGGCACGGAACTGCGCGACTAAACAAAAGATCTGGCCTGGGTGGCGTTCTCAGTGGCAAGGCCATGCCGAAATACCGATACAGCTCGCACATGACGTCAGGCATCGAAGCAATCATGCGTTCTGTTCCCAAGTCAGTGGTTATCGAGACAACCCTTGAGCAAAATGATCGGACGGTCTCGATGCGTGGCCCGACCATCAAGAAAATCTGCCATATCAGTCCAGCTGTTTTCCCGAACGCGTTTCTCACCCGTGAGCCGATGTGCAGCAATGGGAACAGCCTGCGCGTGACAGATCGCCGTCCGTCGGAGTCGTGGATAACAAGGTCAAATGAACTCGCCAACAATTCTTTTGATCTCCACTGGGGGCTTGCATCAATCCATATGAATATTGTTATTAGGTGAATCGGCAATGTCAAGAAAAACTTCCTGAACGCCAACATCGATACTATATCAAACCTGGTGCGCGCCTGTCGTAAAATTTCTCTGTTGATTTTCTGCATCTGGGCGCCGTGTGCAGAACCATCATCTTTGCCAAGAATAACCTTGCACCAGGCAAGCGCAGTGGATTCACTAAATCGTAGGTCGGTAATGTTTTTAGTAGCATCCAGCAGCAGCACCATTGTGTCCACGTTGACGGTTGCCTGCCGATGAGGGCGTGATATGGCCACGATTTCATGGTTGGCGGGAGCGTGCGCTGCGGCAACATTGGAGACAGGATGTCGCTTACGGTATTCTCGGCATAAGTAAGGGCTAGGGCTGACATCGCATAGTCGGGTTCGAAGTGGGAGCGTCGTTCCGAAAGCCACGGAATGCATTGTCGTCTGTGAGCGTTCACACACCGAGGATGCCAACCCAGGGCCAAGCACAATGATGCAGTACTGCTGGCGCGCACCAAGGCCACAGAGAGCATGGGCGTCGGCGGCAAACTCGCCGACCGTCGCCCCTCCCATGAGGCGTTCGGCCGAACACCTCGACAACAGGATCGACGCGGACGCGTTGCCATCTACAACGACAGGCCGCTCCAGACTGCAAGCACGAACCGTGACGTAGCTGACGAAATGGGTGGGGCTGCACGTCGAGCGTCTCTCCGCCAGCGATCTCATGATGGCCTCGTGGTGCGGCGGCTCGTCATCCGCATTGCCAAACACCCAATGTCCCAAGGCAATGCCGACGAGCCGCCTGTCATCGCCTCCACCCTCACTGCCAGGAAACTCATCATTCCAGAACCCGCTGCGGTGAGATACCACAAGAAAGATCGTCATCGGCCCGTGGTCGGGCGCTCGGGCTCTCAATCGCGCCCTGGGGCCTGGGGCGGCCAAGACAAGGCCCTCGTCGCCGTCCACATCCCCAGCAGCAACATCGCCAGGCTCAGGCGCCCTGGCAGGCACATCCCCGTCTATCTCTGGGTCGCCTAGCATGGACAAGGCGCGAGAGAAATGAATTCGAATGCCATGCTTGGAAAACATTTGAGCACACATGGATATGGAGAATAATGGATTGAGCACACATTTGACCATTCAAACATAACATTTGAACATACATGGAATAATGGACATTTGAACAAATATTTGAGCACACATTTGACCATTCAAAAATAAAGGGGGGCGTCATCATACTCCTGATTACGGGGGGGATCATGAAGGGGGGGCGGGTCAGCAGTAACTCGCACGTTCTAGTGTGTTTCTTTTCTCTGCCCAATGTATCGTTCATTGTCCTCCTCATCGTCCTCCACCCTCCCCCTTCGCATCCTATCGCATTCTTCTACCTCCTGTTCATACTTCTCCTCCTGTCCCGACTTCCCCTCCACTTCTTTGTTCCGTAGCCATTTTGGCAGAAACCGTGTGGCGCGTCGGAAACTGGGACGCATGCCGTGGGCATTGTATAACGTCGGAGACGCGAGTGGGACTTCGGGCCACACCCTGCGACGATTACCTAAGAAAGGGAAGAATCAACACTGAGAGGGGGGGGTGTTGAGGAGCCTGGGGACTAGGAGAGACCACAGTAAAGTGTCTTATCTTTGAGTTAAGGGTGGAACCCATGGCATACCACTGCCACTAGCGTTAGGTCGGGCATGTCCCCCTGCAGGCGGATAGTGGCAGAAAGATAAGGGATAGTCAAAAAATACGCCAAAATAATGAAAACTGATCCAAACATCGTCCCCAGACTATTTTTTACTATCTTTGAATATTCCCCCTATAAGGGGGACGTGCCCGATTTCACACTAGCACGCTCCTCGCGCCAGTGCCGACCCGAGAAACCCCGGAGATCCGACGTCACGGAGAAACTGCACCCTCGTAAGAAAGCTCGACAGCAGCCCCGGGCCCCATCTTGCTGCAGCACTGTTCGAACTGGACCGTTCTGTGAGCGTCTGATCCAGGAGGGCCTCCTGGGGTACGGAACGAGTCAGAAGCGCCCGTGGTGAAAAAAACTGCGACGCCGGGATCTCGGGGCCTTCGCAGACCCCCGAAAGTTCATGCTCATGCCGCGTCTGCTTCCTCCAGTGCTGCCCGGAAGGAGGCGCCCGTCTGGCGCCCCGTAGAGCAGCGCGCTCACCGACGCGGCCACCACCATGCGGCAGAGGTCCTCGGTGACACCGGCGCCAGAGATGCGAATGACCACGTACTGCTGCCCCCTCAAGGAAACCCGCTCGGCCATCTTCACCTTCGGCTACAAGGCAAGACCCAGAGCCCCTCGAGTCGACGGAAGATGTGTCAATGCCACCGGCATCTGGGGGCACTCCCCGGGCCTCTGGACCGTCAAGACACGACCTAGGATGACAGGCCCGTCCCGGGAAGGGGTCTAGACCCCTGCAGATCCGAGTCATGAGGCGGTCTGAGGAACGGCCCTAGGCAAGATTGACCTCTTGATTTGCAAAGGGAGCCACACCCAGGCGCGCAAGCCACTGCTGCCGCGCCGCATGTACCAGGAAGCTGGGAACATAGACTTCAGCAGGGACCGACCGTCCCGGCATTCCTATAGCCATACCATGGGCTGTCCTTCGAACCCCACAATCTTCTATTAACAAAACAATGCTCTTATGACATGAACACGATGTGCTGTAACAAGACAGCCCCAGCCAGAATTCTAAGAACACTTCGCGCGAACCACAAACGGTTCTTAGAACATTATTTGGTGGGCCTATGGGCAAGCCAGGACGTTTCGCCACTGCTTGATCGACTGCTGGATTCACGTGTGGAACATCTGGAGGCCACGCGATGGATACTCGTGCGGGAGCCTGGCCTGCGCGGCCATGCAAGGGCCGCGCGCCTGGAAGACTTCTGGCCACGTGTGTGTTCCGGTTCTCGCCCGGGCCAGCCGCGTCGTGGGTATCCAGCTTCCTGGTACGGTGAGGGCATTGAATCAGGAACCATTCAATAAGGAAGCCAGGGCCTAGAAGCCGGTGGAACTCCAATCGTGGATTGGCCATGGATATCACCGCCGCCCTCATCAGATCAGGAAGCCTCCAGGGTCTGACGCCTCTTCGGCACATTCCTGAACCAACGCCCCCACAGTAGCGATGGGGGCCCACTGTGGGCCCGCACCAAAGATTCAAATGCCTGTTCTGAGGACCTACCTGTAGCCACTTGCTCAACGCAAGCGTTGATGCTGCGTCGAACGCCCGTCGAGCTTGAGTCGAGCTTGAATCGGACAGGAAACGATCAAAAACCGAACCAGAGCCAAACTAGAATCGAACAGATCCGTTAGGTGGGCCCCAGAGAGGTCCCCAGAACGAACATCTAAGAATATCATCACTCTGGCGAAGGGCTACCCCTGCGTGTGGCTGGCGCCTGCTCCAGCAGGGTGCCCACCCCGGAGCACTCCTGGCAGGCGCCCCGCAATGCGTCCTTGAACCTCCGAAGGAGCTCCCGCTGCTCCCCGTTGCAGGCGTGGGTGTCCTCAGAGGAAAGGGAACTAGAACCCCACCGGCGCGCTTCGCGCGCTCAGGTTCTAGCAAGTACCTGCCCCTGAGAAGACCATAACATGCTCACGGGTGCGCCGTCCCCGTGCCCGCCCTCCGCGGTGGGGTGTGGCGCCCAAGAAATCAGGGCATGATCAGGACGCGCTTCACCAAGCCGCCCCCCGTGACTGCTCTTTGCAGCAGGGGGGGGGTAAACTGGGGGCCGCCAAACGGCGTCGGCCGCAAAATGGCGGCGGGCCCGGAAACAAAACCATGCCAAGATCTCCGACGAGATGACCTTGTGATGGTCCTGGGAGCCCGGGGCGTTATCGGGCCTCTGGAACTATCACGCATGGATCGGGGGCGGAAAACGAAATGCCCCTAGGTGATGAGTCGGGATCGCTGATGTCAGGGTAGGCTTAGGTCGGGCGGATGTCAGGGTAGGCTTAGGTCGGGCATGTCACCCTACAGGCGCAGTTTGGACGAACAACGAGAAAAAGTTCCAATATATTCAAAAATAGCTAAAACATCGTCCACCTACTATCTACGATTTGTTTACTACTCTTGAGCTTCATCCTGTAGAGAGACACGCCCGACTCAAGGTAGGCAGATACTGCCAGGGTCCCTTTCGGATCTTTTAAGATCGGCGCGGGCCTCCGCCTTCGCCCGCGGAGCGCACCAGGGGGGTCCAGCGCCGATCTAAGAGACCCGCGCGGGCCTCCGAAAGTGTACGAAGTTTAGGGGAACGAGCAATGATATAAACATATCAAGTCGGAGGTCCGCGCAGATTTCTCGGATCGGCGCTGGGGCCCCCCTGACGGCGCCTCCGGCGCCGCCCCTGACGCGCTCCGCGCGCCAGGGAAGGGGGTTCAGCGCGGACCCGAGAAATCTGCCCGGATCTCCTAGTTGTTATGTTTATGCCATTGTTTGTTCCCCTATGGTTTCTGACACCGAATGGATCCTTCAACCTGGAACGATCCGCGGTTTCTCCATCGCCAGATCGTTCTGTATTGGTGGGCTCTGGGCAACCAGCGGCGTTCCACCTTCATCGCCAGCGGCGGGGCCGCTGCCGCGTCAGATCGGCACGAACCGACGCCGTCTGTGCATGCTGGGCTTTCTTCTCCCAGTCCTGCACTTCCCCTGCAGGGCCCCCCCCCGCGGCGAGCACCCGCAGCGGCAGCAGGTACCCAAAGTGCTGCACCGGCGCGCGGTCCACGTCTGGGCAGCGACCTCGCGGCACGAGAGAGAGACCGTGCAGCCGGACACCGCTGCACCGTGCACTGCTGCCACCAGTGCCATGCGTAGAGAAAGCAACAAGCGGCATCAGCACAACTTTGCGGAGGCCCGTAGGGAATTCCTTGGCTCGGCTCTGGACCGCCCCTCCCTGACGCGCGGGAAGCGCGGGGCGTGCGGAGACGCCGCCAGGGGTGCTCAGCTCCGCTCAGAGGGGGACCTCCGCTTCTTCGCCCCACTTCAGCGCCCCCCGGAGGCGCCTCCGGGGCCGCCCCCCCGCGCGCCAGGAAAGGGGGGGGGCCCAGCGCCGATCCAATTCCAGACAAACATTCGACGGCTTCTGTTCCCAGACGTCCGCCAATGTGATGATTGCGACGCGCGGCCCCCGGAGGTCCCGACCCCCTCCCAAAGGCCAGCTTGTGCGCCCCAGATCCATTCTTGGTCTTCCTGGGGCCCGATGGCGGGCCCCAGATGCCGAATCCCAGGAATCCCAGGAAAGACCACTTCGTCGGAGATCTGTCCCTCCCAGGTTCCCTTCTGAGCCCACTCGGCGGTGGAGCTCATCTGGCCGTCGACCAGATGCAAAATCGAGCCCGCTCGGCGGCCGAACGGGTTCCATTCCCACGGCCCTGTCGGAACTGAGCCCGTTCGGCTGTGCCCTCGGCAGCCGAGCAGGCTCAGACGCCGAACGGGCTCAGAAGGGAGCCGTGGGGGGGGGAGGCCTGCAAATTGGCAACAACACCAAAGCAGGGAGGTGCCTCCACCGGGGGAAGATGATCTTAGATGTTGATGCTGAGTAAGAAGCCCTAATATTTTCACCCTCCCCGAGATCGGTATCATTTTCCATGGTGGTTGGAAACAGCCCGCCGATAGTGCTCCGGGTGCCAATCTAGAAAAAGAAAAAACGCCATACGCATAAACTGTTGGCGCTCCGCGCGGATTTATTGGATCTGCGCTGGACCCCCAGCGCGCGCCAGGGGCGGCGCCGGAGACGCCGCCCGGGGGGCCCCAGCGAGGATCCGAGAAATCCGCGCGGAGCGCCAACAGCTCTGTGTATGGCGTTATTTCTTCTTCGGCAATCTCTAGGCTCTAGGCCTCCGAGGTTCCACGGATCTGCCCAGTGGGCTGGAGGAGGAGGAAGAGGAGGAGGAGGAGGAGGAGGAGGAGGAGGAGGAGAAGAACGAGGAGGAGGAGGAGGAGGAGGAGGAGGAGGAGGAGAATAATAATAATAATAATAATAATAAGAAGGCGGAGGAGCAAGAGGAGGAGGAGGAGAAGAACGAAGCGAAGGAGGAGGTGCTGCCGGTGCCAACCCCTGGGCCTCCGCGAGGTGCCTGTCCGTGTGTCCTTCCTCGAAGCGGCGCCCCCCCGGGCTGCCCGGCGCCAGCCTGCCCGAGGGCGCAGCGCACGCGCAGCAGCAGCGCCTCCCCCGCCAGCGCGGAGCCGAGGCGCGCCACCACCACGCCCCCCACGCAGGGCGCTGCGCCGAGCCGCTGAGGTCAGGTCGGGCGTGTCCTCCTACAGGCGGCTCTGGGAGGAACAATTCCGAATACTCACAAACGATTGCCAAGAAGTCAAAAAGACACATGAAACAAATCGGCCCCAGACTTTATTTTTACTGGTTTTGGATATTCCTCCTGTAGAGGGACGTGCCCGACTTAACGCTGGGGGCAATCGCCGCCATCCCCGCCCGGGCTGGCCGCACCGTCGCCGGCGGCGAAGATCGGCAGCTCAAAGGTGGGGCACTGCCAGGGGCCCAGATCTCGAACGTTTCCAGACGGTCTCGAACATGTTAGTCGCTTCCTGGAGGTCTTCTGGCCTCGGGACGCTTTTCAGCGGTTGTGCCTCCTCGGGAGGGTTCCGTGGCTGCCCAGATCGTCTCGAACGGCCGTCGGAGGCTCAAGTCATGACCGTAGACCGAACTTTCCAACTACATGATTGTTGTCAGCCTGGACGTTTTTCCTCCATTTCGGCCTCTGCGGCCCGTTGTCAGACTCTGGGGCTATATCTGGCACGAAAGAACGAAAGACTGGCCCTGGGGAAGGGGTTGGGACCTCTGAGGCCGCGCATAGGGAATCTCAAGCAGTGAAGGTTCAGCTTTCGATCCACTTCCTATCGTACGGGCCCGACGAGGGAATTCCTTGACTCGGGCGGAGAAAACGCATGCCGTCGGAGATCGTGGGGAGACCAAACGATACCCATCCCGCTCATCCCCAGACCTCTCCCAACGTGCGCGCCCCTGCCCAGAACTCCGAGGCGCATCCAGCAGTGGCGACGAGGGCCTCACAGGAGGCCCAACGAGGCGCACACGATGGCAGGCAGCAGCATCGGTCCCACCCTCCCCTCCTCGGCGAGCTGGGCCCACGGTGGCATTCGGGCGACATTCTCGCGCCTCGGGCGGCCGCTCGGCACGCTGCCGGGCAGCCACGGAACGCCCTCGACGAGGACGCGCCCCGAGGCCAGGAGACCTCCAGGAACCGACGACAACGTTCAGGGACACCCGGGAACGTCCGAAAACATTTGGGGGCGGGGTTCCTCAGGGCCCCACCGTGGAGCCGCGGAAAAGAGGAGCTCCACCTCCTGAGCACCTGCCGCGCCCAGCGCGTCCAGCAACCGCTCGGCGGCCGGCTTCGCGCCCGGAGCGCGGCCCACCAGGAAGGCGTAGGCCTGCCGCGGGACGGAGCGGGCCAGGGCCGCGGGCGCGAGGCCGTCGTCTTTCGCCGCGGCGGCCGCGCAGGCGGGGTCTTCGCGGACGTTCAGGGGGGGGAAGCCTCGGAAATCCTGGCGTCGCATCCATTTCGAGCCAGGCGTTCCCGCGTCATTTCGGACCCCGGGAGATGCTGCAGAAAAATGGGGTCCGGGGCTCTGGCTGTGATTTTTCGCAGTGTTCTAATCTTCTGGCGCCGTCGGATCTGAGGGACAGGGGGACCGCCACAACCGAGAACCAATCGGGGGAAGGGGGGGGGGCCGAACCCTGGGCGGTCGGTGGCACGCCCACGCGTCACTCAGTACAGGACAAAACTCAAGCATGCAGGAGGAGGAGAAGATGTATTAATACGTACCACCCCGCAGATGCGGGTAAGAGTGAGGGGGCGGTGGGGACGTCGCAGTCGCCAACGGTGCACAGATTATACAACGAGCCCGCCGCAAGCGTCAACTTTTTCGTTAAACCAATGTGGGTCGGTCGCGGGTGGGTGGCGGGTGGGTCGCCAATGGGTCGCGGCTGGGTCGCGGGGCGGGTCGCGGGTGGGTCGCGGGTAGGTCGCGGGGTGGGTCGCGGGTGGGTCGCGGGGCGGGTCGCGGGGTGGGTCGGGGGGTGGGTCGCGGGGTGGGTCGCGGGTGGGTCGCGGGTGGGACGACGACAACAAACAAACAACAAGAACGCAACAACGCAACAACGCAACAAGCAGAATTCTCACCACGGATCCCCACTTCAGCCACGCACCCAGGGACAATGAATGACCGTTCGGCCCCCTCACTCTGATATCTCCCTCCTCTGGCTGGATGGGGCCTCGGTGGCGGTGACCCCTGCTTCTCCCCCGAGGATGTGGGCAAACAGGCGGTTGCGGCTGGAGAAGCCACTGGCGCCGCACCACCTTCGGAGGCGCGCAAGCATGCATTAGCGATCCATGGAATTGGCGCGCGGTCGCCAAATCCATGGATCGGGGGAGGTGCTCTCCCCAAGATGCGGCCCGTACCGCCTCGTTCGGCGGCGGAAATCCGCGGTTTCCCATGGAAACGGGACCCGCCGCTAATCCACGCCCCCTTGATCCATGTCTGCGATCGCCTGCCACCTGCACGCGAAGAGGCCTCCGGCCCCGCAAGGCGCCGCGACCTCCCCAGGCGCCGCCTCGCCATAGCCCGACGGCGTGTACTCGTCCAGCCGGCAGTCCTGCAGGGAGAAGCAGCGGCTCACGAGGCCTCCGCCGAGCACTGCTCGTCGGCCGCGCGCCCGCGGAGGGAAGGCGGAGTGATGGGCCATTTTCCACCACCACCACCATGAGTAGGAGAGGGAGGACAGGAGGAGGAGGAGGAGGAGGAGGAGGAGGAGGAGGAGGAGGAGAAGGACGAGGAGACTGACCTCCTCATCCTCCCTTCTCCCCCGTCCTAAATATGGTAGCGGTGGTAAAACATTGCCCATCACAGAGAGAGCGGGCCTTCTCAGAGGGCTCAGGCGGCCCCCGGCTTTCGGAGGAGCTGTCCAGGCCATCCCGAAGCCCCGCCGCCTTCTGAGAGGGCGTGCCCCCAGATGTCCCCCCTGTCCCCCTCGGCGCGCCGCCGAGCTTTGGCGAAGATCTCATCATTGCGCGAGTCGTCGAAGAGCCTCAGCAGATCGACCTCCGCAGCGAGAGCGAGTGCCAAATGGACTTCGCTCACAGCAAAGGTCTCGTGGCGCATCTCAAGGCCGTGCACCACGTCGCTCGATATCTCGGGAGTGCCAGTGACCCTGGAGGCAGCTCCGACACATAGCCGCACAACCGCCAAGTGGAAATTCTGCACGCCGTACTCGCAGAGGGCGCGGTGAAGGGCGCGGACCTGGCCAACGCTCCCGTTCTGCCAAGAGGCTCCGCTGCAGTGAGAGTCCTGCGCCAGCCCGTCCTTGAAGGGCAAAGAGGTACCGCTACCGCTGCTCCCCAGACTGCACGGTTTCCCCCGGGGCCGTAGAGAAGGAGGAGGAGGAGGAGGAGGAGGAGGAGGAGGACGGGTCGCCTAAACCCTTCGGAGAAACCCTCCACCCAGGACCTCTCCTGGGGCGCATTCTGACCCGAATCTCGAGGAGAATCCAGCCGTGGTGACGGTGGCTCTCCGGAACGAGCAACGGTATCGGACCCTTCCCAGACACGCGATGCCCTGCTTGTTTCAACACGGTGTCCCTGGGAAGTCGCGGCCCTTTCCCCGGGGCAGGTCTTTCATCCTGAGTCGTTCTCTGACTGACTACCTACCAGAGCACCCCAACCCAACCCGAAGACCCGAATTTCGGGTTGGGGGGGTACGGGTTCCATATGTGTTTTCTCGATGTTCCACGACCCCCCCCAACTGGAAATCGAGGATAAATTGGGGCCTTCGGGTTGGGTTGGGGTGGTTTGGTGGGTGGTGACTGACAGTCCCAGGGTCCAGCGAGGGCCCCAGACGCCGAGGACGTCAGAAAACCTCCCATTCGGATGTTGCCACGACGCGAGCGTGTCTGGGTTTCCCTCCTCCGAGTCCTCCGCCAGCTGCGCCAGGGCCTCGGGCGAGTCCACTGCGTGGCACAGCAGCAGCAACTTCCTGCCCGGCCTCTGGGCCACTTCCCGGAAGCGCAGCACGCAGCGCTGGAGGTACTCGTAGTCCTTGCGCTTCCTGGCCGGGTCGTGGTGCAAGAACACATCGCTTCGGTGGCAACTCATGGGAGACTCCCACACCATCTTGTTGGCTCTCTCGACTCGGCGCTAACCGACGCCACACGACGCTGAATCGATTTGGATCGACGCTGAGTCGGCGCTGTCTCGTCGACGCCCATCTGCTATTCGACGCTGGTGTAATCAAAAAACGGATCTACGAGGGTATGCAAGGCTCCCAGTGCTTGTGACCGAACATAGCCTCGACGCTGCCCTGGCAGGCGCATAGAGGAATACCAGAAGAAGGACGCACGGCACAACACATGACCTGTCGGGGCTCCGTGCGGATTTCCGATATGCGCTGGGCCCCCTTTGGCGCAACCCCTGGTGCGCTCCGCGAGCCAGGGAGGGGGGTCCAGCGCCGATCCAAGAAACCGGCGCGGGCCTCCGAAAGCTTATGCGCATGACGACGCCCCTTCTTCGAAATACCGACGGTGCCCACAACCAGCGCCTCTCCTGCCGAGCGGCAAATACTCGCGGTGGTCCAAATAGGCACGGAAATCGTCGAAAAGACAATCGCTCACCACTGCTGGTGAGGAGAACGTCCAATCAAAAGGCAACGCGAACTTTCGCAACCCGTTGGATTGCAACCAAGTGGCAGCCAAGCAGTTCGACCCCAAGGGCACGACCCACGCGTACGGCTCCGTCACATCTGCTTCTGGCACGCCCATCTTCAACAAATCGATGAGGGTACAATTGCTACGAGCCTGCGCGAGCCAAATGCCACGGACCAGCTTCTTTACTGCTTAAGAGTGCGCCGCAAAGAGGGGGAAGAGGGTGGCTAGCGCATCATGGTCCGAGGCGGACGAGGGGGGGCCAGGGGATTCACTGACAGCAAAGCAGGGGACCACGAAAGCTGGGAAATCACAAGGATCTGGCCATGATATCCGCGCACCCCTTGTTCTCACCCCCTTCTCCGACGCCCACACATCTCTCGCAACGCCACGTCGAGACACCAAACTGCTGGGTCTCATTTTCGGCGTTCCGCGCTGGAATTGTGTGGCTGCACCTGGTCGACCTTGCGCATCCCCGTGCGCCTCCGAAAAAAACACAAGATCGTCACGGCCAGAACGCGTTCAAAATCTTTCCCTGGACCGTCGTAGACGCAGTCGCGACTGATTCTTGAAATACTCATGGCGGTGATCTATACCCCTGGATGTTCCATTCCCCCGGAAGAGACGAATAGGCCAGGGCGCTCACATCCCGGCCCGTAGCCACCTGCGCACCAATGGTGGCGAGGAGGAGATGATGGCACAGGCCAGTATGCCGCCCCTCACTGCGAAACCATTGGTGACGATTCGAAGGTAGTAATTAACTGCCACCGCCACAACATGCTCTTCCTCTGACGACGCACGCGTTCGCACAGAATCGGTGGGTGGCACCATGTCGCAGGTGAGAGCTGCAACACACTGCACCAGTGGCCGACGTATTGCAATATCTGTGATTAAACCAATGCCTGTTCTTGAACGTGTTATTGAATCGTTATTGATACTGCGTATGCGTCTGCGTCCGCCTGTTCTTGAATATTTTCCTCTGCGCCTATTTCCAAGACTACACGCAGCTGGCACTGCTGCTGCAACCACCAGAATGAATGATTTCTGTCTGACCCCGTGAGTGCGTCTGCGCTTGAGCGTGGGCAGATAGCATGCGTAATGGATGAGCCCGTTCACTGTATTGTACGTATGCGTTTGCGCACGCACATGCATGTGCGTATGTTGCAGCACGTGCCTCAAGTGCATACGCCAATGGGTATGACTAGCATTGCGATTGCACGCGGGACTTACGCCGAGAGAATATTTATGTTGAATGTGCAAACACTGAACTGGCCCTTGACCCACAACCTAGAAACATCTTAGCTAGGTTTGTTGAGTCTGCGCTGGTAGGAGTGTTCCAGAGTCACTGCGCTCACCCCTGGCACAGTGGGGGAGGAGGAACTCCTCCCCTCGCCTCGAATGTAGAATACAAAAGAACCTCCCTTGTGGCTAACACCCATACAGCCTCACACACCTACTAAAAGACAACACCGATATGAAGATAGATAAAGAATCCAACTTTGCAAGACTGCCTAATAAACGCGGAGAGCCCAGGACCGGGTACATTCTCCTCGCTTGATTACGTATGTCGCACTCGGTCACTCGTCTCTGGCCGCGCAGGGCACCAAGAAGTCAAAACATATCCCCTAGAAATACTCGAATGCAGCCAGGCAACCTCTTAGACCCTGCAGGAGGGGAGGAGGAGGAGGAGGAGGAGGAGAAAGGGAAGAGAGGATGAGGAGGATGAGGAGGAAGAGGAGGAGGAAGAGGAGGAGGAGGAGGAGCAGGAGGAGGAGGAGGAGGAGGAAGAGGCAAGCGTACGACAGGAGGAGGGGCAGGAGGGGGAGGAGGAAACGTAAGATCGAGGTACAAAAGCAGGCGTAGGAGAGGGAGGAGGATTAAGGAGGGGAGAAGAAAGACCCAACCCAAAATAACCCCCTGTGACTGCATCGGATGTGACGCGCAACGCCCTCACAATGGAGCACATGTACACGTGTGATCTCAGCCGCACGCTGAGCCCTCAGAGGAAGAAAGCCCGGGTCATGCAACACCTCATCCATGCCAGGCGGACGATGCCAGCCCCCATCTGGACACATGCTTTGGGCAGGGAGCAATCTGTTGTGTTCGTCGATGTTTGTTCGCCCTCCCCTTGATCTGACCCCATCACCTCGTGCTCCAACTCCGCCGCCGCGACCGCCGTGACCTCCCACCAGGGCCCTCTGGCGGGGCCCCTCTGCGGAACAGCGGGCACGGGCAAGCGCACCAGACCAGCGGGCTCGGCCGCCCGTCAATTGCCCCTCTTGACGAGGAGGGGGGGGAGAGGGAGGGGGGGGAAGAAAAGGGAGGAGGGAGGAGAAGCAGAAAAACAAGGAGGAGAAGGAGGAGGAGACAGGGGCAACGGGGAGGCCGAGGATGAGGAGGGGGGTGGTGGACATCGATTAGTGGAGGGGAGGACTAGGAGGAGAGGCCGAGGAGGGGCCTGAGGGAAAGGCGGAAACGGAGACAAGGAAGGAACAGAGGGGAGGAGGCGGAAGAAGGGGGCAAGGAGGAGGAGGAGGAGACTTACGTCGGCTTCTTATCCTTTTCTTTCTGTCGGTTGCACGCAGCACCGACCCCAGGCAAGAGTGATTTTTCTGCGCGCGTCTTTAGTAGGTGCGCGTGGGTTCCCACAACCCGCGCGCACAAGATGCTGTCATCGCACCGCACCCAACGATCGGGCAAACCCACTGGGCCCACCCCAAAGGTCACTTCGGCGAAGGGTCAGCCATACGTGTATGATCAAGAAATCATATGATCAGAAACCTGCACCAACTCTACTAATTCCCATCAACCCTTTAGGGCGTAGGTGGTGTAGGGAAGTTCCTCTTCCAACCCCCCCCGTCCCCTTCGGGAAGGGGTTTATCATTGTTCCCTATGAATATACACCCCCTCACCCACCCGGCCGGCGGCCAACCCGGAACCATGCCGACCCCTTGCGGGCCACCACCACCCAACACCTCCGCCAAAAAAACATACAACACGCACGCAGCCTCCACATTTGGAGCATGCGCGGCCAATCCGATGCGCTCACCTCCCACCATCCCTGCCAAAAACAATATAACATACACTTTGGGGTAAAGTGGCTCATGTTCGTGAGGCCCGCGAGCAATGTGTATGGTTTTTGACAAGGACGGCGGCAGTGTCAGCATATTCCTTGCTGCGCGCAAGGCTACCAAAAACAACTGAAATTCGCGGCTAGGCTAAATCTGGATCATGCGCGGCCACCCCGCGATCACTGCCAAGTGGTTTTTGACAGGGACGGCGGGGGTGGTGGCGCGTGGCCTGCTGTGCGCAGGCCCACCAGACACAATGATGGGCATTGGTTTTCGACAAAGATGTTGGGGGCCGATCTGTTTCCCGATGCGTGCTGTCACGTGCGCAGGCGTACCTGACGCACTCTGCATGTGCCACGAACGTGGCGCACCTGGCGGGGCTGGAGTGTGCGGCACACCTGGAACACTCGGAGCACGTGGCGCATCTGGCGCACCAGGCGTGCCTGGCACGCTCGGGCCCCAGGGCGCCTGGCGCGCGTGGCGCCCCAGGCAAGCGTGGCGCGCATCGCCCAAGCGTCGCGCACCTGGGATCGGCTCTGGTTCCCAGTTGCTGGCCATCCAAAGACGACCGCTGAAAATGTTGAGGCTCGGGTGTTACTTATGTGTTGGGAGGGCGGGTGGGAGTGAGCTAGATGGCTTGCGGGCGGGTGCGTAGCTTGACCCCTTCCCATATGTCTTCCCCTGGACCTGGACGGGGGGGGGAGGGGCAGCGAGGGGTTGGAGCGCCCCAAGATGGCCCAACATGGCTCCAAGAACGCCCCGGAAAGCCCAAGATGGCCTCCCAAATGGCTCCAGATAGCCCAAGCTGCCTCAAGATCTCTTCCAACATGCTCCAGTTCGCCCCGATACCGCTCCAATACGGCACCTAGTGGCGACGGAGCCTTCCAACCGAGGCCGCCAAGATGCCAACATTTTCCCAAACCTGAGGCACATCAGTGTGTTTGGCCTTCTCGTATTTTCGTTTCCGATGGCCTTCCAACGCCTCAAGATGGCCTGCACCAAAGAAAACCCCAGGAGAGGCCCAGCAGAGCCCAAAGGCGGCCCCAAGAGAGGCCCAATATCGCTCCAAGACCACCTCCAGAGGGGCACAAGAGGTGATTTTCGGAGCTCCCGAGGGGGGAGGCAATTTGAAGCCCCCCCCCCTCTTTGATCGATTTCATCCACGATGGCTTGAAAAGGCGCCCAGGTGGCTCCAAGAGGCCTCCAAGAGGCTCCCAAACTGTCCCAAAGAGGCCTCCAACAGGACCCAAGAGGCTCCCCCGAGGCACCCCAAGACGCCCCAAGAGGCCTCCAGGACCGCCAAAAGGCCCCCAAGACGCCCCAAGAGGCCTCCAACCCGCTCCCAAACCCACTTCACTGATCACCTCAGTTCCCTTGGCCATCGTTTCTGGACGGGCTGGTGGGGATTATTGGTTAGCGGGCGCGCGGAACGGGTCGAACGCCGAGCGTGCTACGGCGGGCCGCGCCGATAACAACGCGAAAAGCAGTGCAGGCAACGGCGCGCGAAGAACCGCGGTACCGACTAGGCAGCAGCAGAAGAGCGTGCCGACAGCAAAGGCCATGTGACCGCGGCAAGCTTGGCGAACAGGAAGTACAAGAAACGCCCCGAGAGCACGAGGAGGACGCCGAAGAACACGGAGACGGAAAGTGGTGGCGTACAGAACGATCACCGCTGTGCCAACGCAGAAGACGCAGCCAAAATGGCGCGAGGAAGGCGAACACGTGGCCGAAGAGGGTAACGGTGACGCGCAGGTGGACCCCGTGAAGTAGTATAGACGGCACCCGGGTAGGCGAACCAGCAGGATCAGCTTTGTCGTACAGGTAAAAATTCAGGTGGCCGGCTGGTGGGGATACTTTTTTTGGTCGCGGCCGCGAGCGAAGAGCGCAGGCGGCGAAGAGAAGTCGTCCGGGCCGAGCTGGTGGGGATATTTTTTTGGGGTCGCGGCCACGAGACAAGGGTCAGGCGGCGAAGGCAACGTCCGGGCAACGGGCGAAACTAATTGGCTAGGACAGGCGCGCCGGCCGGCCCCCTCAGACGGCAGCTGCAGGCTGGGTGACGCTGAACTGGCTGGCGCACTGCAAGCTCGGGCACGCGCACTGGACAAAATGACCAGAATTCACTGGGAACTGGTGGGGATACTTTTTTGATCTGCGGCCCGCAAGGAAAAGTCCTGAGGGCGTGGTAATCGAGCAAACTGGGGCACAGTGCAAGATAATTAATATGCAATCATGCCGAGCAAAGCCGAGGAGCCGCAACTTAGCACGGCGGCCGATGCGAGGAGTCGCCAGTACGGCGCCAGCTCAACACGACAAATATATTCATGAGCCGGTACAAAGCGAAACCAGACCAGCCCCAATACATGTCGTCGCCTCCAGAGGGACGCAACTCACCGTCGAATAAGTGAACAGTCGCCGAAACGGCGCCAGCTCATCACGACGAGGGAGGGGGGGAGGGGGCGAAGGGCGCGAACGGCGGCGACGAGGGAGGGAGGGGGAAGAAACCCGGTCTCACTCACAGAACACCTCTCGCGTTGACGCTCACCGCGGAGCCCTCCTGCGTTCCAAGCTAGTCCAGTGAACCAGTAGCCTGAATACCAGACGCGACGTCGAGTGTATTCGAGCGTTGCCCGGGACAGGCGACCCAGGCGGCCGAGGACCCAACAGAGCGCCGCCCATGGCGAGCCAGGGGGGAAAACCGTCGGCGACGAGGGGCGGGACGGGCCAGCCGTGGGAAGGCTGAGCCTGCCAAAGGATGACCCACTTGTGCAAGAGTGTGCCTTACCAGGGCCCACCCGCAGGTGGTGGCCAGTGGTCCGCCACCGCAGTCGAAAGACAGAGGATGAGGAGGAGAGCCATGTGGCGACACAGGCAGTCGAGGACCCAACACGGCGTAGGCGGAAAGTCGTCAGGGGGGAAGGCGCCTGCCTGGTGAGGGGGAAACGCCACCAGAGCAAGGCCACCTGTCGTTGCAGGACCAGCACCACAACGTGCGTGGAGAAGGAGGGGGAGGGCAGCCGATGGCCGCAATTCAGGTGAACACAGGGGAGAACGGAGAGGCGTAGGTGGGCCATGCGACACCGACTGCCGAGGACCCAACATGCGCGACACGATCACGGTGGAGACCAGGGCATGGGACCAATAGGAACCGCCCTGCACGTAGCACCAGTACTGGTCCCAGTCGGCCGTGGCGCAGCGGCCCTTGTGCGACTCCATAACCCCGTCGGCACCGCCACCGAAAAGCCACTCCGTCATGCCACTGCGGGAGCCGTGCTCGCGACACTTGCGCGTCTCGCCGACCACGGTGGAGCCCAGGGCCTGGTAGCAGTGGAGCCGCCCTGCATGTAGCACCCGTGCAGGTCCCAGTCGGCCGTGGCGCTGCAGCCCTAGTGCGACTCCATAACCTCGTCGGCAACGCCGTCGCAGTTCCACTCCGTCATGCAGTTGCAGGAGCCGCACTCGCGTCACTTGCGCGTCTCGCCAACCACGGTGGAGTTCAGGTGCTGGTTGCAATGGAACCGCCCTACCCGTGGCACCAGCACTGGTCCCAGTCGGCCGCGGCGCTGCAGCTTGCGTACGACTCCATAGCCCTGCCGGCAGCGCCATCGTAGTTCCACTCCGTCATGCCATTGCTGGAGCCGCACTCGAACCACTTCCGTGACTCGCCGACCACAGTGGAGTACAGATACAGGTTGCACTTGGAGCCATCCTGCACGTAGCACCAGCTCTGATCCCAGTTGGCCGTGGCGCTGCAACCCTCGTACGACTCCATACCCCCGACGGCGTTGCCATCGTAGTTCCACTCCGTCGTGCCGTTGCAGGAGCCGAACTCGCGCCATTTGCGCGTCTCACCGACCAAGGTGGAGTCCAGGGCTTGGGACCGCCCTGCACGTGGCACCTGCTCTGGCCCCAGTTGGCCCGGCATTGCAGCCCTCGTACGACTCCATAACCCCGTCGGCATCGCAATCGTAGTCCCACTCCCTCATGCAGTTGCAGGGGCCGCGCTCGCTCCACTTGCGCGTCTCGCCGACCACGGTGGAGTCCGGGGCCTGGTTGCAATTGGAACCGCCCTGCACGTAGCACCAGCTCTGGTCCCAGTCGGCCGTGGCGCCGCGGCCCTCGCACGACTCCGTAATCCCGTCGGCATTGCCACCGTAGCTCCACACCGACATGCCGTTGCAGGAGCCGCACTCGCGCCACTTGCGCGTCTCGTCGACCACGGTGGAGTGCAGGGCCTGGTCACACTGGAACCGCCCTGCACGCAGCACCAGACCGAGACCCAGTCCGCCGTGGCGCTGCAGCCCACGAGCACGGCTGCAGCCCTCGCCGTCGTCGCCGCCGTGCCCTGCACGGCGTCGATGGCGTCAGCAGGGGAAAAGGAGGCGCAGCCGATAGCCGCAGAACATTTGAATCCAAGGAGAGGAAGCGCCGGACGTTAACGCCTCCAGACGAGGACCCAACACGTAAAGTCGGCGTGTCGATGGCGTCGGCGTCGTGGGAGGGGAGATGGCACATGAGTAGGGCCAGCTTCTGCCGTATCGGCCGACCTTCCGCCGTCCTGCTCAAGGGCACTGCTGCTCACCATGGGGGGAAAACGCAGGCGTGTCCGGCGCCGCCGGAGGAGGAGGGGAGGAGAAGGCGCAGCCTATAGCCGCAGGACCAGGTAAATCGAAAGAAGAGGGAGAGCGCCCGTGTGAACCATCGACCGTCTGTGACGGATCTCCTCACGTTGAGCAGTGGGGGGACTGCCGCTGCCTCTGCCGTAGCGGCCCCAGTGACAGGCGCTCCGCTAGCCAGACCCAGGTCACCAAGCCCCACCCCGGAGGACGTAGCATGAGAGCCTTGTACGCCAGGAGGAGGAGGAGAGGAGAGGAGGCGCAGCCGATAGCCGCAGGACCTGGTAAATTGTTGGAGGGGAGGGGGGGCACGGTAACGTCACTGCCTGCGTCCTCCTGCGGAGGGTCCTCTGCCAACACTGCCGGGGGGGACACGTTGACTACCCTCCCATGTGCCGCCTCGTCGTCACTTGGGCGTCCTTCTCCCACCATTCCCAGTGTAGGTCCTGAGGCCCCGTCTCCAGCCGCTGTGGGTTGGGCGGCATTCGGGGCTCGGGTCCCCCTTGGACTGCCCGCCCGTCCTCGCGGGGAGGCGGGAGGCGTGAGAGGAACTGGTGTGTGCTCGGGATTCACCGTCGCGTACTGGCCATCCTCCAGAGTCCGCGACTCTCCTTCCACCAAACAAGGGGAGGTGGCCCCCGACTTACTCTCGACGTTGGGTCTGCCACGCCTGTGGGCGATGGCTGCTCCGCATGGGGGGATATTGTTCCAGATACTGGCGGTAATCGGACTCCAGCTCCACATACCGCTCGATCTGCGTCTTCTTCCTCTCCATTTGGCGGGACTTCTGTGGTGGAACCATGAGTCGGTTAGCCCCTGTCTGTTCTCCGACCAAGGGTCTGCGCAACCAAAGCTCGTATGGTGGGGATACGCGAAACGTCAACAATTTCTTCAAACAAGCCTGGGCCAATTACTGTTGTCAGCGTTGAAAGGCAAGCGTACTCAAACAACTGGGCCAACTTTCTGGCAAGTTAGTTCAGAAACGCTGGCCCAGCTTTCCGAGAGAAAAATGCATTCTGAAAATCAGATGCTCGACTGTAGATCCGCCGCCGAGGGACCCTCAGGTAGAGGTCTCCTAGATGGGGTCCGAGTAGATGGGTCGAAGGATCGCGCCGCATCGCAAATGCATCAGCATTGTATCGGCGATGCATCGGCGATGCATCGGGGACGTCGGCGAAGCATCGCCGACGTACGCATGGGAAATCACGGGCTCCGCATCGAGCCGCATCGCCGATGCATCGGCGATGCGGCGCGATCCTCCGACCACGTCTACTCAGACCCCATCTAGGAGGCCCAGATCAGTGAGGTCCGCCTCCGCACGGCATTTCGGGGCCTCGGAAGCCCCGAGCGCCCGAGACACAGTCGGGGAGAATCGCCCGAGTCCCGAAACGCGCGCTCACCCCGATGCGTTCTTCTGGTCCTAGGCGCGGCCCTCCACAATCTCGGCGGCTGCCCGGTGGTGGACCGCAAGGTCTTCCTGGGAAATTTACTGGATTCCGACTTGTCGTTTGAACCTCTCCTTCGAGAGATCGTCGCCGTCGGTCCTGGCTGCTTCTATACGCTGTTGCATGCGGCGGAATCGGGGGGGCAGCTCCATCAGGGCAGCAGCTCGCGTAGAATATGTGCTTCTGTACGCCGCCCCACTTCTGGCCGCCGTGCCAGGCGCGGAATCCACCTGGAACAAGCTGCGGGTGACTTGGGGCCGTCACTTATTGGGGGGCCACCACGGGGACGCCACTTGGCCTGGTAACGGCCCGTTGCGCCCCTGCCTCCCCCCTTCATGTTTCCCCCCCTCCTTGGGCCAGGCTCTGCCTCGAGGGCGTCCGCAGGTTTGAGCAGCGTCCAAAAATGTTCCAATAACCAACACAACATTCTTAGAACATAGTTGAACCCGATGTGCTAAAACAAGACAGCCCCAGCCAGAGATGTTTTAAGAGGATTTCGTGGAAACCGCATAACAGTGTTTGGTAGGCCTATAGGCACGCCAGGACGCCTCGCCACTGCTTGAGCAGCGCTGTCACTTGTTCCCCCGCCCAGCTGTGATATTACCCTTGGGGCCGCCCTGTTCCAAGACCCCATCCGATTGAAGGCCGTGCCTGGGCCCCTGGGCCGCCCTCCTCTGCCTGTAGCCAGCCAGGGCCCGCTCGTCGCCCCTGGGGTTAGGTCGGGCACGTCCCCCTACAGGCGGAGATTGGACGAAAGAGTACATATCCATGTCGAACGAATAACATGAAGAATACTAAAACATTGTCCCCCAACCTTTTTTCCCAACTATTTTTGAATATTCCTCCTGTAGAGGGACAGGACCGACTTAACCCTGGGGTCGCCACGTCGCTTCCCTTGGCAACTTGGCGCTTTCTGGCCGGGGGGGGCGGGGCGCCTTGGCGAGAGGGTGGGTGGGCGCCAGCTGGCTTTCGGAGGTCACCACCCGCGTGCACGCTGGGGCCCGTAACTCCAGCGAGCGGCGCTTCCCAACTCCGCGGGAAGAGCGGCTGGTTGCGGGCGCCCACCTCCTGCTTGCGCTGGAACCACCGGGGGGGGCTGTCCCTCGTCGCCACCGCCTGTCCCTCGTCGGCTCCATGGCTCCCGCGGGGCAGCACTGAGTCGCAGCGTCCGCGGAACGGGCGCCGGGGGTCGCCAGCGCGCGCGCCGTGGAGGCTGTTATGATTGCGAAGTGCGAAATGCAATGCTGAAGCGTCTCGACAGGAACCGCTGTTTCAAGGCGCGCCGCGGGCAACACCAGCCGAGGCCCCGCGCAGCGCACCTTGGACTGCCCGACTGCCGCTTCCCCGGGGCCTCCCCGCGCCCTGACGCAGTGCAGGGACTGCGCTGAAATTTGATGATGGGGATGTGATGGCAGCCAGGAAGGAGGGTTGTGGGGGGGGGGGAGCGTGAGCCACTGGCTGCTCACGGCCCCCGGGATGGCGTGAACCTCCCCTCTGCTGGTGGGCATCGGATGCCCATCGGATGTTCCCCAGGGGACTCCCCTGAAAAAAAGCTTCCCGTGGCGCTCCTGGGCGCCCACAGTCCCCCTCGGCGGACTCTTGGCGCCCTGCTTGTCCCCACGGTATCGTCAAGAATCCACGGTATCGTGGTCATTGTGGTCGTGTCCCTTCCCTCGAGATGAGGAGGAAAACGACGACGTCGACGACCGCATAGACCGGAGGGGAGAGGCCCTCGCGCCATCCAACTCTGGCCAGGGCGGCCGTGAACCAGCATCCCACTCAACGTGGTTTTCCCGACGGTCGGCTTTCCAGAAGAGCACCCTTCCTGGCGGCAGTGGGCCGCCAGGGGGCTTGATCAACCTGCCCAAGGGTCAACAGCCCTTGGGGGCGGGGATGGCTGCGTAGTCAGCGACACTGCAGCTGGCAGCGCCAGCGTCAGAAAGGGGAAAGAGCATGGATGTGGGGGGGGAGGAGGAGGAGAAGGAGGTGGAGGAGGAAAAGGAGAAAATGAAGGAGGAGGGGGAGGAGGAGGAGCAGGAGGAGGAGGAAGCCGCGGGATGAAGATGCGGGAGGAGGAGGAGCAGGAGGAGGAGGAGGAGGAGGAGGAGGAGGAGGGGCAGGGAGGATGAAGGAAGGAGGCGCGTATGTGATGGGCGGCGCAGGGCGCGCAGCCAGGAAGGGCCCTTCGCCGACCCAAGATATCCGCGCGGACCCCCGAACATGCATGGGAATGCCGCTTTTTACTCCACTGGCCACGCCGGCCACGAAAGCCAGGGCCGTCTCGGCAGCCCTCCCGGCTTCCGAGAGATCGTTATCAGGAGGAGCCCCCGGGCCCTGTTCTGAGCGGGCCCCTGCCTTCTGACCAGCCCCCGCCCGCAATCTTCGGAGCTGCGAGTAGATCATCGGCTGCGCGCGCGAGGTGGCCCTAGGCAGAAGAGTGGTCTTCGGTGCGCGGGTTCGGGGGCGTCCAGGAGGGGGGCGTCCAGGGGGGTCATCGCAACTCGTGGACCGAGGCACGTGCGCAGCCCGTACTGAGGAGGGGGGGCGGAGGACGTGCCCCAGGGACCCTCAGGGGGCCACGACACGAGGGGAGGCTTCGTGCACCCGGCCATGACATCCCCCCGCCCTTGCCATCGTTCTGCGGCAACTCATGGGGGCCTCCAGCACCATCTTGCAAGCCCCTGCGAATCGGCGCTGGTCAACGCTAATCCACCTAATCGACACTATATCGACGGTCATCGACGCCAGTCGATGCCCAATTGGCGCTATCTCATGGATTACCAGACGCCAATCTACTCTAGTGCATCCTAAAAACGGAAATACGAAAGTTCATCCAGTGGTTTGCCACCGAACCATCACCCCCCTCTTGGACGCCCCCGACGGTTCTTTGGGGGCGCCGGGGGGTCGAACCAAAGCGCGAAAGCTGTCGCATCGTATTCGGCGAGCGGGGGGCACCAGTGGGGCCGCACCGAAGATCACTCCAGCGACGGACCACTCCCTTGAGATCCGACGCTGCGAAAAACTACGGCATCACAACAAATCGAGGCCCGAAACCGGGCGGGAAGGCCAGGTGCGAAAGCATTGCAACGCCCAAACCTGGGAGTCTCGCGTGCAACCGAGATCCGCCACCTTGAGGCCCTGGGGGAGGCCCCGGGGTCGGGGCCCTGCCAGGTCCTCTCCAGTGCAGGCGTCCCTGAGGTACCTGAAGCGGAACTGCCTGCCGGCAGCGGCCTCCTCGTAGGTGCCGCAGGAGTCGAGGTGGGCGAACCGGGGTTGATCCAGCAGGAGGAGGAGGGAGGAGAGGAAGAGGCACAGCGATCACCAGAGGTCTGGGTCAGGCGGCGGCAACGGCAAGTGAAACACAGCAACTTCTTGGTTCTCGGAGCGGGGCTCGATGAGGACAAGGAGGAGGACGAGGATGACGATGAGGAAGACGATGAGGAGAACGAGGAGGGAAACGCGAGGCGAGGCGGAGAGGGGGGAGGAGGAGCGGGAGGGAGGAAGGGGGTGGAGACGGAAACGTCATCATCCTCATTCTCATAGTCCCCATCTTCCTCCTCCGCGTCCCGTCCCCAGCCAAGGTCCGCTGGGCTGGTGTGGCACCTGGGCGGCGGCTGAAGCCAACTTAACACCAGTACCATTCGGTAAATACGGGGGCTTCCGGTCCGGGCCTCGCCAGTGTTCGGTACCCTGGTCACCTCGACCGACAAGATCGGCGGGGAGGCGCCTGGATGCGAGTCACCTGGCTGGGCCGGACCATTGCCCAAGCGTGCAACGGGCTGGTACCCCGCTGAGCCATACGTGAGCGCAAGGCGTCGCCGAGAGATTGGTGCCCATCAGCAGGCTACTTGGGGAAAGGCGCGCGGTTGGCTGTATGTTCATCTAGGCGGCTTGGGCGCGAGTGAGGGTTGGACCTCTCGCATGCGTAGAGCGTTTGCTGCATTCTCTCCACTCAGGTACGCGACCCTGCCAAGCTATACCAGGTCCCCATTGGCATTCTTCGTGATTTGCGGGCTCGAACCCCGCGTTGGTCACGGATGCACACCTGCGAGAGAACGCGTTTCACGGGCGCTTGCCTTGGGAACATTCGGCGGCGCGTCTCGAACCGGGGGGTGGGCCCCCCCCACCAACAATCGGCGCCGTCGATCAGAACCAGGGGGATTCCCCTCCCCCCCAAGCCCCCCCCTCCCGAACCCCCGCCCCCCCCTCCCCTCCCAGGGGGCGGGGGGGTTCAAACGCCCCCCCCCCCCTCGGCGCCGGCGCCGGCGCCGGCCGCCGCCAGCAGCGCCGACGGTGGGGACGCAGCGACGACCAGAGGCAGCCCAAGGTGGGGGGGGTGGGGGTGAGACGCCCCCCTGCCCCCCTACCGCGCGGGGGGGGGGTTTGAACCCCCTCCCCCTGGCGCCAGCGCTGGCGCTCGCGGCGGCCAGCAGCGCCGGCGCTGGGCGCTGGAGCCGGCGACGGCGGGGACGCTGGCGCCGGCCACCACCACTACTACCACCTCCACCGCCTCAATCCACCACCGCCACCACCACCAACCCACCACACAACCATCTCCACCACCACCACCACAGCCACCACCACCACCATCACCACCACCAACACCACAACTCACCATCACCACCACCACCACCACCGCAAAAACCCACCACCACTACCACCAACACCACCACCACCACCACAATCTACCACACCACCACCACCACAGCCACCACCACCACCATAACCACCACCACCACCACAATTCACCATCACCACCACCACCACAAAAACTCACCACCACCACCAGTCTACCACACCACCACCACCACCACCACCACCACCGCCACAAGCAGCACAACACACCGCCACCACCCAAAACCACCACACCACCACCACCACACCACCACCGCCACCACCACCACCACCACAAGCACCACCTCCACGAACCATCGCCACCACCACAACCCAAGACCAACACCACCACAATCCACCACCACAAACCACCACCACACTACCACCACAGCCAGCACAAACCCACCACCACAACACACCATCACCACCACCACCAACAAAAACACACCATCACTACCAACACCATACACAACCTACCACACCACCACCCCAACCACCACACAACCACCACCACCACGAGAAGCACAAAACCACCAACACCACCACAACCCACCACACCACCACCACCCCGCCATACCAACACCAGCCACTCCACAAACACCGCCACCACCACCACCACCAACCACCACCACCGCCACCACCAAACCACCACCACCACACTACAACCCACCACCACCACCACCACAAACCACCACCACACCACCACCAAACCACCGCCACCACCACCACCCACCACCACATCCACCATCACCACAACAAACCACCACACCACCTCCACCACAACTTCCACCACCGCCACCATCACCACAACCCACCACCACCACCACCACCGTCGTCCTCGTCGACGTTCCCCGCCGCCGCCGCCCGCCGCCGCAGGCGCCGGCGCCAGCCCAGAAAGCGAAATCGTCGTCCCCGCCGCCGCAGCCAGCCGCCGCCGCCGCTGCAAGCGCCGGAAGCAGGGGAGGGGGGGGGTCCAGTTCCAACCCCCCCCCCTCCAAGCGACCACAGAACGCGCTCCTTCACACGAGAGAGCGCGTTTCACGGGCGCTTGCCTTGGGAACATTCGGCGGCGCGTTTCGAACCGGGGGGTGGGCCCCCCCCCCAACACTCGGCGCCGTCGATCAAAACCAGGGGGATCCCCCTCCCTCCCACCCCCCCCCTCCCAGACTCCAGGGCGGGGGATTCTGGGGTGGCGGTCTGGGGCCCGTGCTTCGGCAGTATTTTGCACTCTCGTCTCGGCGCAGCGCGCAATTTAACCAAACGTGACTTTCTCGCTTCGGCGCCGAGCACATTTTTGGCAGCATCCTGATACTGATTGGAGCCTCGTTGGGACTGCGGGTGTCGGCAAGGCCTGCGCGCGACGTCCGCCGTTTTCGGCAGGGCCTGCGCGCGGCGTCCGCCGTCTCCAAGGACTCCTGAATACATATGCCTTCATAGGGATTCCTTCGTAAGGATTCCTTAGTACATATACCTGACTTAGAGTCCCGTAATACGGAATCCTTGTTGCGAATCTTGCTTCATCAAGACTCAGTATTCAACTTTCTCCACAACGATTCCTTACTGAAGATTCGTCGGGGGGAATTCCTCAATCCAAATTCCTTACTGCGGATTCCTTAATAAGGATTCCGTAAGAGCAGGATTCCTCCATACAGATTCCATAAGACACATTCCTTCGTACAGATTCCTTAGTAGTGAGGATTCCTTAGTGAGGGTCCCTTTAGAAGGGATTCCTTAATAAGGTTCCCTGGATCAAGATTCCTTACTGAGGATTCCTTGGTAAGGGTTCACAGCTAAATACACCTTAAGACAGATTCCTGAGCAAGGCTTCCGTATACATATCCTTGCTTGACAGCATACTAGTCCCACCAGCCCTTTGGGCGTGAGTGGTTTAGAGAGCTCTCTCTGTCCTCAACCCCCCAACCCCCCTTCTTCCCCTTCGGGGAGGGGTTTACCCCTCCCCCTACCCCCTCCCCCTGGGCCTGGAGAGGGCGGGCCGCGGGTCGTTGGAGGGGTCTTTTCCGACTCCTGGGAGGGCCAAAAAACGACGACCCTCACGAGGATTCTGGCCCCGTCGGGGGGGGAGAAAAAATGCTCTCCTCTTCTCTGAAGCCAAAATCCTTGATTTTACTACGGTTTTGGCCCCATGTTGGCAGTCTGAGGGGCCAGCGCTGCTGCTCCTTGTTCTCCAAATTATTGATTTTACGAAGGTTGTTGGGCTCATTTTGTCCTTCTGAGGGGGTAGCGCTCATTTGCGCTTCTCAGGAGGTCGCAAGAAGCCCCCAAGAGGCCCCAAGATGCCCCCAGGAGGCTCCCAAGAGGCCTCCAAGAGGCTCCCCAGCCGCCCCCAAGAGGCCTCCAGAGGCTCCCAAGAGGCACCCCAGAGGCGTCCACGAGGCCCCCAGAGCCCCCAAGAGGCTCCCAAGGCCCCCAAGAGTCCCCCAGGAGGCGCCCAAGAGGCCCCCAGAGGCCCCCAAGAGGCTCCCAAGAGGCCCCACCAGGAGCCCGAACGACTCACACCAGGACGAGGGCCCCGAGCGACTCACACCACGAAGAGCTCGAACGACTCACACCACAACGAGGGGCCCGAACGACTCATACCAGGACGAGGCGCCCGCCCGACTCACACCACGAGGAGCCCGAACGACTCGCACCGCGACGCGGGCCTCGAACGACTCACACCACGTGGAGCCCGATCGAGTCACACCAGGAGGAGGGGCAGCGCTCATACAAGCCCCCCAAGAGGGCCCCAGAGGTCCTCCAGATGGCCCCAAGAGGCCCCCAGATGGCCCACAGTCTCAAAAGTATTGATTCTACGAAGGTTTTGGGCTCATTTTGTCCTTCTCAGGGGGTAGCGCTCATCTGCGCTTCTGAGGAGGTCGCCAGAAGCCACCAAGAAGCCCCAAGATGCCCCCAGGAGGCTCCCAAGAGGCCTCCAAGAGGCTCCCAAGCCGCCCCCAAGAGGCCTCCAGAGGATCCCCAGAGGCCCCCTAGAGGCTCCCACGAGGCCCCCAGAGCCCCCAAGAGGCTCCCAAGAGGCCCCCAAGAGTCCCCCAAGAGGCGCCCAAGAGGCCCCAAGAGGCCCCCAAGAGGCCCCCAAGAGGCCCCACGAGGAGCCCGAACGACTCACACCAGGACGAGGGGCCCGAACGACTCACACCACGAAGACCCCGAACGACTCACACCACAACGAGGGGCCCGAACGACTCATACCAGGACGAGGCGCCCGACCGACTCACACCACGAGGAGCCCGAACGACTCACACCACGACGCGGGCCTCGAACGACTCACACCACGTGGAGCCCGATCGAGTCACAGCAAGACGAGGGCCAGCGCTTATACAAGCCCCCCAAGAGGGCCCCCAGAGGTCCACCACATGGCCCCAAGAGGCCCCCAGATGGCCCACAGTCTCAAAAATATTGATTTTACTAAGGTTTTGGGCTCATTTTGTCCTTCTCCGGGGGCAGCGCTCATTTGCGCTTCTGAGGAGGTCGCAAGAAGCCCCCAAGAGGCCCCAAGATGCCCCCAGGAGTCTCCCAAGAGGCATCCCAGAGGCTCCCAAGAGGCCCCCAAGAGGCCTCCAGAGGCTCCCGAGAGGCCCCCCAGAGGCTCCCACGAGGCC